TATATATATATTTACATGATAATCGAATCTTCATGGGACTAAAGTTAGAACCCTTATAATTCGTACCATGTCTCCCAACTGGTGTACAATCTCTATACATGCCCGTTCTGGAATCCATATTCTAAATAAAATTTTATAAGCTTTGGTTCCTTGTAAATGGGTGAATCAGTGAAAACCAAGAGTTGGCTTGGGTTGAATTTTGTTAATTCATAGTATAAGCTCCTTATAATGCAGAAAGATGTGGAAAAACAGGAAACAATGGCAAATACATTAATCAGCACATCTAGTGAAAATATTTGGTTTTTTTTTTCTCCATGCAAAATGTTATGGAAAGAATGCCTGAAAGGAGAAAGATCACTTATGCTTTATTCTTTTCGGCTGCCTCCTACTTCTCGCAACATGCAAGCTTGACAAAAATAATGGAATGGAATAATGTAAATGAAGCAATTGAAGGAATTTATGAAGTTTTTGGCTGCACTCAGCAGTTGTTTATGGAATGAAATAATGGGTTCTTACCATCCAATAAACTAATAACGGTACAGTTCCACCTGGATGAGCTCATAAACATAGTTCCAAGCTTCGGTCCTATTTTCGAATCCAATATAGAGAGGACGGAGGAATGAGCAGAGAAGGCAGATCTCAAGGTGCGGCAAAGTAAAGCATTCCTTAGATCTGAAGCATTGAAAGGAAATTTTAAAAAAAAAAAAATTCTTACCGCTCGGGATGAGGACCTTGACGGGAACAAGACGCAGGGGGCTTCGAGAGCGGAAGAAGAAGGCGCGTGGGTTACCTTGCTCGTCGAGGAAGAAGGCGCAGGTTACCTGGCTCGTCGAGGAAGACGAAGGCGCGGGTGGCTTCGCGAGAAGGCTTCAGAACACCAGGCGGGAAGCGTTCGCGAGACAAGAAAATTGCGGGCGAGAAAGAGGATCGCGGGGCCTATGGTAATATTAGCGGCGCCAAGGGTCGATCCCGCGGCCCGCTTTTCACCAACTCTAGCGGTGTGCGGCCGCAAAGTTGGCATCCAAACTAACGAATGTAGCGATTTGGGGCCGCGCCTCGCGAAAAAAGCGGAACAGAGCCTAAATCGTTGTTTATTAATATACTACTGTGTCTCATAAATCACTCAACAAATAGCGCACATGTTTCTGTGAACCTTAGTAAAGCTACGCTTTGATTGCTATGACAAGCCAATCCTTTAGTTTTCCCTCAATCACATGCTGCTTGGCTTCATAAATTTCGTTTCCAGCATTGCAATTTAAGTATAAAGAGCAGAAGAATCATGGGAAGAAGTCAAAAAGAATTGCTTACGTTGTAGGGGAATTCTTTATTTGTCAAGAGTTCTGATAGTGTATCCACACCCTCAAACCGCCATATGAGCCAGTACTCACCTCTCCCCTTCCCCTTTGCGGAGCTCTGCAATCAATGCAAAAACACATTAAACAAAGAAAGCCTTCCATTCTAACATTTCTTGATTAAAAATCCAAAAACGGGTCCATGAACATCACAAAAGTATGACACCTCTTGGAAGCCATACACAAAGTCGGCACAGCTACTGGCGCAAGCCCTCCTCACCCGTTCATTCATCCAAATCTCCACGGCACCATACTCCGTGGCCTTTTTGAGAACCAAATCACCCTGTTTCATTAGCTAAATAAGGAAAAAAATCCATAGGTTACAAAAAGAAGGCATCCAGACAGGCAATATCCACCGAAGCTTTGAACCTTAGGGGCAGAAGGCTTGGATTTGGCAATGGAGGCCCTGTATACAACACCGAAGGCTCCCTCTCCAAGCTTCTTTCCCAAGACAAAGTCATCCTTGCGATACGAGGGACGAAATAGGCGCTCAACAAAGGCGAGAAAGAACATATCGAAGAAGCCCGGTGCGACTCCGGGGGTAGCCCAGAGATAAGAGGCAGCAGCCAGAGCTAGGGCAACACCGGGAGCCGTGATGGTGAGGCCGCTCTGCCTTGGGAGAGTACTCCGGTAAATGATATCGCCGCACTCCATGACCGTGCAGGGAAGACCAACGCCCACGCCCAACAAAGGGTCTACATAGCGTGCAACCTCGGCGAGAAGGTCGGCGGCCCCCATCGCCGCCAAGGGGGGTTTCGCTCTCCGCGCAATTCTGGAAATAAAGGGGCTTCGATTGGGAGGCATCTTCTTGAAGCGAGGGAGGAACGGGGAGCGGGAGAGGCCGAGGTCCACTCCAGCTCCGGCTGTGATCGCCATTTTGGCGATATATGTGAAGGTTAGTCTCGCTCGGTTGTCCCAGACAATAGAGGAAGCGACGGCGTGGATAAGGGAAAATATTTGC